AGGCTGAATGGCTCCCTCTGTGCCCCCTCAGTGCCTTAGCTTCCTGCCTTTGCTTCAGCGAGGCAGCTGGAAGGGGTGAATAATAAAACAATCTAGTCCTGAATGGGCTCATGCTCTGATTACAATATTATAAAGCATTCTAGCTACACAGAAGACTGGGAATCTAATGCTACAAAGGTCCTTATTACTGCTTTTATGAAGTACACTGCATCAAATCTCAAGTGAGGAGACTGGATGGAGCACAAAGTTACTGCACCTGCTTCAGCAGGCAGGTGCAGCTATGACTGTGCTGGGAGCTGCAGGCCTGCACACATTCTTTCTGCATGTTCCTGGATTTAGTCACTTAGAAATTTGGGCAGCAGTGACATAAGAATCACCTGTGCTACCTGCAAAAACAGTGCATCAAAGCCCCTTTCAAGTGAGAATATGCCTTAGGAGAGCCAGAAGAATTTCTGGTGAGAAGAATGCAATTAAAATTTCAAAGTGCTCCTTGAACTTGTGTGTGCTGTTTTTAATTATCCTGAAACTAAGTGGAACTGTTGATCCTGTTCTTCCCCAGCCTATGAAAGCTAATTACTATCTTTTTTTAAAAACATCAATCTTATAATAAAGAAAGGAAGCCTGTTAAAGGGCTGTTTAGCCCACATCCTAAGCACTGACAAGACAGACTGAATATCTGATTTTATTCCTTGCCACAATACCCTCCTATTGAGTTCTTCTACTCTGATCTGCTGGTTCCCCCTTTGCCACCTCATACCAGGAACTTGAAGGTAGGAGTGAGGCCTGATGAGCCCTGCTCTGCAAATAAGGGGTGGGAGTTCCTGTTTTGCAACAGTGCCCAAATCGGCTTCATCCGTAAGGGATTGTAACTTCCTATTATATTAAATAAACTGTAGCAACTTTTCTTTCCCAGTTGTAAGGGTGAGTGAAAGACTTCATGAGTCTCCTCTAGTTTCCTGTGTGTTGCAGGCAGGAAGATAGATCTCCTCTCACTTCAATGCTGATTGCTTTAGGCCTGGGAGATGTTCTGCCTCGTGGAAGAGGCTATGGTTGGTGGGTGGGATTTGGTTCTTGGAATGCACACAAATCCTACCTTTGCTCTGCAAGAGGGGGTGGGAAGTGTGATGTGTTTGGCCTCCAGGCCTGTCTGGTGATATAAGTCATCCTGTTCTCTGGATGCCAATCAATAAGTTGCTGCTGCTGTTTGCTCTCTCAAATATGACGCTGCTGCCTGTGTGGAGTGTTGGCATCTCACTGTTTTTTCCATATCTGCAACCTCCTGTGAGGTTCGTTTGCTTTCTTACCTAATCTTCCTGGTGACTCTCTTGCTTCCCTTTGACATCTTGTAAAATTGACAACTTTGTAGCTCTGCTGGATTTTGTGTACTTTCTTGGCCCCCTGCCATGACCTTGGCAAGAGATTGTGCAGCTGGTACTTGTGTCTGCTTGTAGGAGTGATTCTCTCTGCTTGCCCTTGAACTCCTTTTCCTGCCCTTGCCCAGTCTTTCTGTTCTGGCGTGTCTCGAGCCAGCCATGGCTCTGTTCTGGAGCTTCCTCGCAGCACTGTCAATACAGTCAACTTATTAACTGTAGGCAGGGCAATCGTGATAAAAGATGTTGGTAGGGTTTTGTCATCCTCCCTTTTCACAGAAGGGAGATCCCTTGGTGAGGGGCAGTTCTCTATGGCAGCAGCACAAGCTTCTCCTTCCCTGCCCATCTGTTTGCTAAATACTGACGTATAAGAATGAGACAAGATCACAGGTGTGTGGTGGTAACAGCCTCAAGTTTTCTCAATAGGCTCAGCTAGGGTTTAAAACTTAAACTGTATTGTTCCTTCAGTTAATTTTCCTAGTTATCTGTTGAATCGTATTAACTTGCAACCAGATGTGCTACCGCTTCACCACACTAGGAGTGTGGCACCATCACCCTTGTTAGATTTGCCCACAGGTCTGAAGCTTTAGTTGGAGGCTGGTGTCTCTCAGTAAGAGATGCTGAGCAAGTGATCCCTGGTTGCCCTCTGATGTGTGTTTGATGAGCTCCAATATCCATTTATGTGTTTGAATTTTACAGCATGCAGAATTCTGAATTTAAATAGAATTATATCAGTATCTCAGTTCTTTTTTTACAAAAACAATTCATTATTCATTAGTTCTCTTTGTGCCATTTGTGACTTTATAGAGCTACTGTGTCTTATTTCCGCCCGCCCCACTCAGCTGAAGAGTTGCAGTGCGTTACATTTCTCTTTGTGCCGAAGCCGTGGTAACCCCAGTCGTACTCCTTGCTGATGGTCATTTAAAGCATGATATTCTTTTTGAGCTGAAGCATCTGGGAAGTGACTGTGATATTCAAAAAGGAGGCAAGCAAGGGGCAATTTTGAAATGCTGTGCTAATGTCTTCTGCTTTGTCCTATGTGTCTTTCCTAACATTATTTTCATAAACTTTTTTTTTTTTTTTTTTTTTTTTTTACCTTTTTGATGATGCTGAGTGGTAAACTGCTGTTTTTTGAGAAATGCCTGAATAACTCTATAGACTTTTTTAGTTAATATCTGATTTAAGCTTGTTTTGATTCTGTGAATACTTCTTTGCTTTTGTTAATTGGGGAGATTATCACCTGTTTTATTATTTTCTGTTGACAGTGGTAGGGTTATCAACTGTTTTATTATTTCTGTTGATATTAGCCATTAGTGAATTAGCAAAAGTTCTGTCTGATCTTTGATAGCACATCTGTGATTTATTAGGTATACATTTCAGTAACACTGCTGGCGCTTATTGTATTGCATTGCTATCTGCCATGAAAACCAATTTTGCAGACAATCATGATGCCAGTTGAAGAACATTTATAAACATAATAGGAACTTGGACCTTAGGTTTAAGGTTAACAGTGCTGGGTGCTATTCCTGTGCGTGTGTGCATCTATGTGTGTGTGTGTATACACACATAAATACATATTTGATCCATGTTTCTGCCTCAGGAGAGTGTAATTAATTGTTTTAGATGCAAGTGCTTAAGATCATTGTCTTTGAATTGTCTAAAAATGCAGTATTGTGTAATTGGGTTTTCTTATTTTTTTAAAAAAGCTCTTGTTTGTAAATGGTGAAGAACTTTACACTTATGCTGTGTTTTTGATTTTTGGATCACATTTTGGGGGACGTAGGCCCTTATCCTAGTAGGAGCTGGTAGCTCTACTCTGAAAAAAGGTAATTCTGGGAGTAGGTGGTGGCAGGGCCCGTTACTGGCACTAGGCAGGTCTGCCTGGTGTCGTGCACATGGGCAGCGCAGCCAGCTGCAGCTTTGAGTGTGTTCTGTGCTCGGGAAAGCATGGGTGGGTACAAAAGTTCTTACCCCACACCGAATCCTTTGAGCCATCTTTGGCCAGTCCTGTATTTATGCTGTTTAGCATAGATTTAGTAAGAAGTTACTGCCCTCAGTGAGTGAGTGGTTAAAAGATTTCTCATTTAATTTATGTTCAGTTCAGCCTTGAAGTGTTGCACATTTCTGAGTCACTTAATGTATCATTGTGTTCTGTTCTCTTGTTTTCTTGTTACTCTGCGGTCTTCTTTTGTAACCCCAGCTTTAGATTCAGATAGTAAGTTTTCTGAGGCAAGGACCATGGGTAGTTTATGACAAGCTTAAGCAATACTTAAGTACCTTACTTAAGCAAAGAACAAATTAAAACTGTTATCAGTTTCCTGCTCTTCACATGAGTGAAAGCTAGTTGGTGGCTTAATATACTGTGTGCTTAGGTGTTAACATAGTATGAACTGAGTCTCAGATAAATGGTGGCATTTTTGTGGGGAAAAAAAAAACATAACGAGAGTTTAGGAATTGAATACTTGTTGACAGCAGTTAGCGCTTTGTGGCTATTGTGTTTAAAGGAATCCATGAGGTAGTTACAGTTGCTGTTTTCAGAGAAATAAAATAACCTTGTTCTAGCAAAGCAACTAACAAGAATAAATACAGTATCTATTCATTTGAGACAGCCAGGAATATGTTTTTAAGTCAGAACTGGGCTCATCCACAAAGTAGCTCAATTTCAAAGAGTTAGAATACAACAAATAATATAACACTGCAATAAATGGTCCATTGAGCTACGAGAAGCAGTGCTGGGCCCTCTCTGGGGTGGATAGCAAGCTCGTATCTTCAGATAGTTTTGTCACCTCTGGCTTTTGGTCAAAACGTTTATTTGAACTCTCCAACATTTTGGCTTCTCCCTATCATTGCTGTTTCCTTTTTTTCTGTTAAAATTTTAAATCTGCATTGTGTTAGGACTGTGGAAAATCTCTGCTGAGATACAGTTTGCCTTTTAAACAATTACTACTAAAACTGATGAGGCATTGAGAAGTATGGTGTGCAAGTTAGGCAGCTTTTTCCAGTTTGGGTTCTTCCTTTGGTTTAAAAAAAAAACAAAAAAAAATAAAAAAAAAAAAAAAAAAAAAAAAAAAAGGAGGAAAGGATTCTTCTGCATAATATGGATTTATATTTTTTGATCTAATTCTGGTAATTTTTGAGGCCATGTCCTATAGGATTCTGAAAATAATTTGGATTTCTGTGCCTATGAATATCTGAATCATGCTGAGAGAGTTTAAGTTTCTCAAGCATGTATGCCTAACTTTAGGGCATAGGCCAGTGCCTGACTTTCTGGATTTATGAAGAGTTGCCATCATAAGACGCTTAGTTTCATAATTTTCCTCCTTTGTATTTCCTTTCTCTGAAACATTTGTCCTGCGGCAATATCCAAAACTTGACAGACAAGACTAGGCTGGTCTATCCGCTTACCCTTTGACTGCGCCGCCGCAGTGCTGGCATTAATTTGTTTCCCAAGCAGCAATCTAAAGCAGATCTATAGCACGTGCCTTCTGTGTCTTTGCTTGTCCTCGAGATGTTTAAACAGTGCTGACCGATGTCGCAATGATTTACAGCAATAAGAGCTCTGAAGTTGCAGCCGTCAGGAGCTGGTGGCTTCCAACAGAGCTTTGATCTCTGGTGTCTCTCCCGTGGAAGCAGGTTGAATGCCAGGATGCCTTGGAAGCGGCGGCTCGCGCAGAGGGCCTCCCCCTGGACACCTCTGTGCACTCCCAGCTGAGGATGCTCGACGAGGAGCATCACAAGGGCAAATACCACCACGGCCTGAATGCGCTGAAGCCCATACGGACAACTTCCAAGTGAGTCTCAGCTGAAGAGGAACTGGTGCAATGTCTGTGTTTCAAACCAGTCCCAAAACAGGATTGCACCTGTAGGTCTCTGAAGCTGAAAACATCATAATTTATAATATTATAATAAGGTCAGGTGGAACTTTATGTACCTGTAATGGGAGGAGACTTTGGTTTCCTTGGGGGTTACAATGCTGTTTCCTTCTTCATTTGGCTGTGTTTTTTGTGTTTTTGATTTATCTTTTCTTTCTTTTAGACACCCGCACCCTGTTGATAATGCTGGGCTTTTTTCCTGCATGACCTTCTCCTGGCTCACTCCTTTGGCCCACAAAGCATACAAAAAAGGGGAATTGTTTATGGATGATGTGTGGTCTTTGTCAAGGCATGAGTCTTCAGATGTCAACTGTAGAAGGTAGAGATATGTTGGTCCATTTTATTTTTATTTCCTTTATATGTATTTTCATAAATGATGATGCTATACTGCCCTAGAAAAGCAGCACTGATAATTTTGTTTTGCCTTTCTCCATTAGAAGAATGTGATTTAGTTCTTTATCTTTCACAGATTGCTTACTCTTGCTACACTTCCTCTGTAATCTCACTGATTTCAGTGAATTTTGTCAAAGATTTTGTGTCCAGGAGTGTTTTTCTGGTTTATTTCTGGTTTTGCATCTTCAAACTATTTCTTTCTTATGCAAAGCTGTCTCTCAATAATTAGTTTGAAAGAAATATTGTACTGAAATAATGATAAATATTGTAACTAGCAAGGCTATTTGTATATGACTCAGATCTTACAATTAGGCTAGCCTGCTAATGACTAATGAGAATTTTTCTCAAGTTTTGATTTCTCATCACTTATGCCAGATTAGAAAGGAAAGGTGGCGATAAATCAATGGGTTAAGATGGTAAAAACAACTCTACACAAAGCAAAAGGCATTTTATTTTCCATCCCTCTTTTAGGAAGAATTAACACAAAATAAAGATTTCAAGATGGAAATACTTCTCTAACTCAGAGAGTGAACCATCTATGTATTTCTTTTAAAATCTAGTGATTTCTGTTGCTCTTAGCTAGGAAGTGCTTGGAAATGTCAGAGCAAGTGCCTGTGAGCTTGTACCTCTTAATGTTGGCTAAAGATTTTTACCAGGAGGACTTGTGTTTTTATTAGGCTGGAGAGGTTGTGGCAGGAAGAACTGAAAGAAACTGGACCTGATGACGCTTCTCTCCGGAGGGTTGTGTGGGTTTTCTGCCGCACCAGACTCATCATTTCCATAGTGTGTCTGATGATCACGCAGCTCGCAGGTTTTAGCGGACCAGTAAGTAATATCCATCCTTTTTTTAGCAACCCCAGAGGGCTCCATTTCATGCCCAAATGTGTAATATTAAAATTTCATGCAGAGTCACTTAAATGTTTTGAGTAGTTAGAAATTCTGGTGGGGCAAAATTCCAGAGTCGGTAATCCAAGATAGATTTCCTACAGCTGCTGGATCAGTTGCTGAATACTGAGGCCACATTTTTGGGGAAGGGAGGAGAAGTTTAGGTATCTTGGAAGAAATGTATGCTTGGTTTTTCTCTTTGTTTCTCTTAGTTTAAAGTTCTTCAACTACTTTGTTGTCTCTTTTGCATAAAATTCTTACGTGGAGATCTTTTGTGTTTTCTTTTTGATTTTTGTAAATTTATTTTGTAATAAAATTCAGTACGGTAAAACACTTAGATTATTGGCATTAATAGCACAGTCTTCAAGAAGTGGAACCAAACAATTTTATTAGCGCGCTAATTAAAACTAATGTAAGCAGGTCTTGAGAAATCTGTGGATAGTCTTTACCGATCTTCCAGAGAATGGTCAGAGAGGTTCCAAGTAGGAGTGTTAGTACATTATTGCCTCTAGGAACTGCTGCTGTTTGTTGCTGTGGGTCATAATGAAGATACAACATATGGGACTTGACATTCACGCCATTTTTGTCACCTGTTTGTTGCACGTACTGTGCAGATTTGCAGTTGAAATTTTGACTAAATTTATTCTCTGCGCATTTCCCTTGAGGAGTAGGACCAATATTACTACTTGTAGTACACGTTTCAGTGTGCTGGTAAGCTGAAGGTTCATTTCTTGGGTAAGTACACTTGGGTGCACTGTTAGGTGAAATGTCTTTTTAAAATGATGTCCTGCTTATAAATTTCTTATAAAAAATGTTCTGCTTTTTAAACCTTTTTTTAAAGTTTGCTTTATTTCATGTAATATGAATAACAATAAATGTTTTTGTGGTCCTGTTTTCACAGTAATAATTTATAGTAGTTTGTGTTATTTATAAAACATCTGAACATACTTTGTTAATTAACAATAAATCATGATTAAGTTTTTAACAGCACTAGCTTTCCCCAAGAAGAGCTTCTGTCATTGTTTCACTACAGGGCTTTAGTAGCTGCTTTTATGTTAAGCAGGGAACTTGCAGCAGGGTTGCCCCTAATTTCCTTAGAGTGATTTCCTCAATCTGTCACAACCAAACTACTAAACGGTGGGGGAGAAGGAGTCAAAAAACAAACTTGACTAGGTTGGGAGCTGAGGTTGCTGTTGATGCTTGATTTGGATGATTTGAAATTATCTATAGACACTTGCCTATTTACAGGCATATTTTCCTCTCTCTAAAGAACCATGTGTTTTTGGTTCCATTATTTGGCATGAAAAATGAGTCTGTACCACCCCTCCTCGTTTTCCGAACCGGCATGCCTCGTGGCTGTGCCTGCGCTGTCTCCTCTGACGTTGTCAGTGCTTTCCTGCGGTGCTACACCCTTCCACTCACCTGAAGGTGAAAAGGGAGATCAGGAAAAGCACTTGATTTGACTTTGTGCATTGGCAAAAGCAATCAAAATTGAGTTAAACACTATGTTAAACTTGGTTAAAATTTTGAGTAGAATTTTTATGAGCTTGGAGCGCCAGCCTGCAGCTGTGGCTTTGCGAATGAGCACTGTGATGGTTATAGCTGTGAGGGAGCTGTTGCAGACATCCTGTCTCTGTGTTTTGATATCAGACAGCTCCTTCAAGGATCTTCTGCCTTTTATTTTGATAAATGCTGCATCTGGCCCAGTGACTCAACCTGTAGCCTGGTGAATACAGCCACCTGTGTCAGACTGTCTTGTAATAACCATCAAAATGCACTACTAGAGTGAGATAATATTTATCTTCAGTGAGAGACTTGCCAGTTAACCAACTACCAAAACTTCCCTATTTGAGTTGAGAAGCAACCAAGTTATTTGATTCACTGAAGACAATCAGTTTAACTCTGGGTCTGAACAATGTACCTGTTTGCAACTGTTCAGAGCTAGTCTTCCAGTTTGGGAGATGGGGAACCTTGCCATCTCAGTGGAGCACAGCTTGACAGTTTGGTCAGTTTTTGGAGGGGGGTGGTCAGCTGCTGGAGGTAAGTTTCCCACTTTCCCAGCTGGCTCCAGTTGCAGCCCGCCCCGTGCACTGGCTGCGGTGGGGCCGCCCGCGCTGCAGTGGGACCAGTGACAGAAGCTGTTCTTTAGAATTTCCAGGATGGCTGTTTTCTGCGTCAGGATGAGGCAGTCCTGCTGGGCAGAGCCGCCGCCAAGAGCAAAGGTAAGGTAATGTTTATTCCATGGGAATGCTTAAGACAGCCGAGCAGCTAGTACCAACTACTACGGTGATAGCCGCACAAATTCTTTTTCCCCTTTAGTTTGAAATCGATTTGTACTGTAATTTGCTTGTCTTGTAAAGAACTTTGTGCTGGATTTTTTTTTTTCATTAAATTAGTTTGAATTCAAACAGAATGTTCTCAGATGTAAATGTTAACTTTGTGCGACTTCTTTCCCTCTCCCTTTTCAAAATTCTTTAATTTTGTTGTTTCATCTCTTTCTTGTGGAGGAGAAAAAAATAAAAAAGCTATAATGTAAGCTGGTCTCTATTTCATCACTGGAGAATGATGATGCTATAAAATAATGCTGAAAAAAAATGCACTAAAAAGTTTTGAGAGGAATGAGACCCCAGGAAACATCTGCTATCTTTATACATCCTCTCTTGGAGACTTTCAGCAATGCTGTGGTGTGTGAGAAAGTGCTTGCAGTCTGCGACCATGTTGAGTTACAGCTCATGAGGAAAAAGGGGGATTTTCACCCCACTGCTCAGTGACTCAGTTGCATATGTTGGATTGAATAATGGAAAAAGAAGTCAGTATTCTTCTTAGTAACTGCAAACCAACTGTATGCAGTTGTGGTCCCAAACAGTGGATGTAAAACTAAATCCAAGTAAAGATAAAGCTGGAATGCAGTAGATCTGTGAATGTGAGCCCCTCACATTTGTTCAGGGATCAGTGCGCAAATTCTCAGTGGCCACTCTAGAACCTCATGGACATCTGGCTTTAATTCACACCTGGGAAAATGAAAGATCAAATTATTTACAGCATGTTTCCTTGGTTCTGACATGCAGATTTACTTTCCTCAGAACAGACGAGTTTTATCTCCATTTTTTTTTCTGTTGTTTGGTGCTGGGCTATAGCTATTGATACCTTTGCTGAAATAGCGGGGTTTTGGTTTTTTTCCTCTCTCTTCATACTGTAGAGAACTCTTATTTGCAAAGCCTGGTTTAGCCAAGAGGACTTCAACGGACTGTGAAAGGCTTCTAGAATATTTTCTTTGGTCTCAGATTTTTTTTTTCTGTTTTCGTTGTGGGCAAAGGTAATTCTCCACTTATGATATGCTAATACAAGCACCAGCATCTTAAAGCATCATTTATTAAAAAGCTCCCTAAGAAATCTCCTTTCATTATCTGTGAAGCCTTACTGTAGCATACTTTTAAACCAGATTTCAGAATCTGTGCAGCCTTGGAAGCCCCGCACTGGCATCTGCAAGTTTGACTTCCTTTTGGACTTCATAAACATATATTTATTCTGATTTTGTATCTTTAATTTTTTTGTGTGTGTAGTTTCAATTCCAGTTTGTTTTTGAGGTTAAGACTGATTGTTAGATACTAGCCTTTTATAATTATCCTGTATGTGCAGATTGTATTTTTATACAATGCTTTACCTTTTGTACGGTGTTTGTGAGATGTTACCATTTGAAGATGGCACTTTGTTTCAAATAAAAGCTTGTTGTTCCTCAGTCAATAGTACTTACATTGTTGGTGATTTTGACTTATATGATGCTATATTGTGTTGTTGGACCACAAAGAGCTGGAAGTGGGAATCAGTGGCTTGGGGGCTACCATCTTTCTGCAGGTGATGTTTGAAATGTTGATTCCTGAGGTAAAATGTTTATGGTTTTGGAGGGAGATGGGGTGGGGAGGGAGTGAATGGTTAATGTTTTTTTCCTTTTTCTTTTTCCCTGTTCCCCAATGATTTATGGTATTGCGTACCTTGTGCTTTCTGCTTGTTTTTTTCTTTACTATTAAACTGCTGATGTTTATTTCCAGGAATGTTTTGCAAATGTCCTTCTCACTCTTCCCCACTACAACTGTAGGTACATTGTTCCTTTTTATCAAATAAGCACGTTTGAAGCAAACCAAAGATAAAATAAAAAAGGTCTTAATATCATATAAAGGAATGTCTCTTAATGTGCTCAGATGTATAAGTAGCAACTATATTTTACAACTCTTCTATATGATAATGCATTGCTTTCAGCTAACTGACAGATTTATGTTAAGTTAGAAGACATGGAAGATTAGAAGTCTTCTGCAAGAAATGTGGTTCCAAATTAAACTTTCTTTACTTACTAAATTTGCCCCAGTGCCTGGCTCTCAGCAGGGCTTTGTGTTACAGTACGCCTTTTATTGACATCTTTTACTTCTAGAAAGAAGCAGCTTTCTATTTCAAATGGCTCTTTTAAAAGCAAAGTAGCCTACTTATTTCTAACTTAACATAAAGTTGTTGCATGGTCCTCTGCGATGATGGGTGTTCATGCAAGTTTGCATTTCTTCCTGTAGGCCTTCGTTGTGAAACATCTCTTGGAATATACACAGCAGAGTGAGTCCAACCTGCAGTACAGCTTGTTTTTAGTTTTTGGCATCTTTATGACGGAAATTGTGCGATCCTGGTCCCTTGCACTAACTTGGGCTTTAAATTACCGCACGGGGGTTAGACTGCGTGGAGCTATCTTGACTATGGCATTTAAGAAAATTCTCAAGCTGAAGAATATCAAGGAGAAGTCTCTTGGAGAGGTAAGCCACAGAGTCTCTTGGAAACAGCTGGATGAAAAGGAATATGCAGTTCATTCCTTTGAGGATGAGTTGTGTCCTAAATCTAAATGATCTATGGTATGTGTGTTTTTTCAGCTCATAAATGTATGCTCCAATGATGGTCAAAGGATGTTTGAAGCTGCAGCAGTTGGCAGTTTGTTGGCTGGGGGCCCTATTGTGGCCATCCTGGGAATGGTTTATAATGTGATCATCCTGGGTCCAACAGGCTTCTTGGGCTCTGCTGTCTTCATCCTGTTCTACCCAGCAATGGTGAGTTGAAGAAACTTCAGTAATCCTTTGAATGCTTCATTTTTTCTTAGTTTAGACATGTATAGTCCTGAACAGGTGTTGAAAAGTGCTAGATTAAGCCTATTTATGATGCTGCATGATACTGAAGTTGTTCCCAAAGATGGCATAAAAAGCAGAAATCTGGAAATCTGAAATTCAAAAGTGCTAAAGTGAATTAGAAGATGGAACTGGGAAAGTGAATAGCTTGGGCTTTGAGATAAATATGCATAGCTAAGTTACACTGTGAAATGAGCAGAGCTCGAGCATTTGCGGTTGACTCTGGGGAGACAGAAGACCTTCAGGTTGTGCAAAGCCGTTGCTCAGTGCTACGTGTTTCAGACAAGAACTAACCACTCCTGAGTTCTACAAAAGATGCTGAAGAGCACCCATTAGTGAGAGAAGTGCCCTTGGTTTAGATACTGCTGCCTCTACTCTGCTGAACTGTAAAGTAGGCTGGGCTGAGCCAAAATCTTCTTGCCTCAAAAGTGTGTTGTGAGGCTGCTGAATATTTGTTAATGTTTTTCAGAGTCTTCAGTTTAAAAGAGCAGAGAGGTGGAATACTTTGAAGTCCACTTCAGTCTAATTTATCTGCAGAACAGAAAGGATGAATATATTGGGAATTATTTCCCGCCTCTTCAGCTCCCCAGCAAAAAAGTAATGATAAGGGGTAGAATTTGATTATATTCAGTTGTTTTCAGCAGCCTTCTTGTGTTGAAGGGGAATTGACAAGAGGTGGCAAAGAGCAGGAAACTTACTAATGAAGTGTGTTCCTTTTGGATTTCAGGAAAGTGTGAATAAAAATAGCTAGGAACATATGAACAACTGGTTCTTTTCAGATTAGTTTAGTAAAGATGTTAATATTGGTTTCACACTCTCCTAGCACTGGCATATTATAAAACTTGACCTGGCTGTGCAAACTCTAGCTCTTTTTTATGCCTAATAAAAGTTCAGGTTAAATGGTTGATTAAAGGAAGTTCTAATGTCCATTTGATTATGAGGATTAATTTAGTTTGTCTTGAGGCTCTTGTGTTTGTATTTTTTGTACTTCAGAAACTTTAAAGAACTAGTACTATGACTATTCAATATTAATGGTAAAAGCCCATTGCTTTGTTTTCACCATTTTCATGTAGACTTCCTGTCATGAGTTTAGTGTTCAGTGCAGGTGATGTGGGAGAATGAAGAGCACTTTTATCCTGCTGTTTATGTCAAAATGACTGCCTTTCAGCCCATAATTGAGATCCTGTTTCAGAATCAGAATTTGCTTTTCCTGGTAGTGAGGAGGACTTTGTAGTTGCCATTTCAGAGTTGCTGCTAATGTTTTGTGGTGATGCTTCATTTCAGATGTTCGTATCGCGCCTCACGGCTTATTTCAGAAGAAAATGTGTAGCAACAACAGATGAGCGCGTGCAGAAGATGAATGAAGTTCTTAATTACATTAAGTTCATTAAAATGTATGCCTGGGTTAAAGCATTTTCTCAGAATGTTCAAAGTGAGTTGGTACAACTTCTGTTCCCCTTTTGTACAAATGCTCCATTGCTTAGTATTCTGGTGAATCTTTCTAGCTTAGCACCAGGGCTGTTGATGCAAACGCAGTGTAATAGCACAGCCATCCCTCACGCTCTCTGTTTCTCTCATGCCTGATGGGTTGGAAGAACAGTCCTGTTTCTGAAGTTTCACTTTCTAGCATAATAGTGTTTGAAACTTTGCTCTAATTTTTAAATTTTAGTCTACTTATAAGTCATTTAAGTGTGTGGTCTGCGCCTATTTTTGATAAAAGTAAAAAGATTTCTATTTTTATGGAGATTTACAGACAATTATATTTGCCTCTGTTACTGTGATTCTTTCAGGGAAGTATGTAATGTGATAAATGCTAAAGCATAAAGTTAGGCCTCTTTTGGTGTTTCTAGTGCTGTGGATAGTGTCTGCTGTGTATGTAATCCTCTGAATCCTACTTCAAACGTGGTGCCCCTATTTATATTTCTAGAAATTCGGGAGGAAGAACGTAAAATCTTAGAGCGTGCAGGCTACTTCCAGAGCATCACTGTGGGTGTGGCTCCCATAGTTGTAGTTATTGCCAGTGTGGTGACGTTTTCTGTCCATATGATCCTTGGCTACGATCTTACAGCAGCTCAGGTAACTGGTTAGCTTGTCGATGTTGAAAATATTCTTTACAAGATTACTACGGTTGCTTTTCTGTTAAGCTGCAATAAAGATACATGCAATCTCTTTAGCATGTTCTTTGTTCCTCACCTGGCCCACAAAATTGAACATCTAATGGATGTGACAACAGCAGATATATTGTTGCATTTTGTGGGGAAAAAAAAAAAAAAAAGCCAAGTGCTGTTGAAGCCCTGGCCTTCCCCAGGACAGGTTTTGAGCTGAATATGAACCAGCCTTCGTGGCTGCTATTTCAATTGGACACTGGAATTTCTGCATAAGGTGTTTGGATGCAAACAGCACAGAACTGTGTCTCACTGAGTTAAGATGGGATTTGAACACAGGCTTTCAAAAGTCAGGCTAAAGCAGAATTTTGCTGTCTGCCATTTTCAGTGGACTTGCAAACACTGATGACATTTTGAAACATATTTATCTTGGTTAGAAAGCACTGGGGAAAGTGTCATAGGGATCTGCTGCTTTTTGCTGCTCCAGAATGTGTTCAGTCTTGAAATGGCTGTTCTTAAATTGTGTTTTCTTTTCCATGGCTTTGAATTGCTGCTGTGTGCCTTTAGATGGTTGGAATTGCTGGTTGGGTATGTTGCATCCAAATATGATTCTCTTCCTTGTCTTGTTTTTAGGCATTCACAGTGGTTACTGTCTTTAATTCAATGACTTTTGCTCTAAAAGTAACACCTTTCTCAGTGAAGTCTCTATCTGAGGCATCTGTGTCTGTTGACAGATTTAAGGTAAGCAGTTCTTTGGCCTTGTGCTTTTATCTGTCAGCGTGGAGCGTTGTATGTGTATAAAGGACACTAAGGAGACAGTTTACAGCCAATTCTATTTTAATGTCTGAGCAGTTCTTTTTCTTTGCACTTAAAACTCTAGATATAATTATCCTGCATAAGGGGTACAAATCCAGTCCAGGAATATTAAACGTTGAAGGTAATGACTGTGCCAAGCAAGATATTCTCATTTAATGATTGCAGGGGTTTGAGGTTGACCCCTGCTGGAAATGGGATACTGGGCTAGATGGGATAGTGGCTCACAGAATAATAATTCTTAGTCTCTTCTAACACTATCCTTTAAAAAAATTAAAGGCACAACATGCCTGCGACTAAATTTTGTATTTAATTTTTTTGTAGGAGTCATCCTAAACCAGTCTTAAGTCCAGTTACACTGATAGGAGTTTTGGGGGAAGTTTTAGAAGACAGGGAGAGGTGAAAGTGTTTATATATTAAGACCGTAAACAGAATAGTTTGTTTAGGGAATGTAACACAAAGTGGGGATGCTGTCATGTCACAAAAATGTAACTGGCTTTCTGGTTGTGTAAATGAGTATGAGCTTTCTTACGGATGTATGATTCAGGTGTAGCAAGCACAAGATTAAGACTGGAACTTGACACTTCTGTAATTGCAAAGGCTTTTTAGTTCAAAATATAGGATGTGTAAGTGGAAATGATTGTATTTTGTTTTGTAATTGTGTGAAAACTTTTCCTAATCTGTTGATTATGAAAATTGATGGATGTGGTGGAGAGCATGATACGATGGGCTTAATGGTTTTTTATTTTCATGCAATCTTAGGTCGTCCAAATCTGATTACTATTTGCCAGTAACAGATATACCCCTTTTGCAGGGGACTGCAGGCAGTCATTACAACTCCTGTAATGAGCTGGTGTGCAGAGCAAGTCACTTGCTTTCCCTCCTAGTGACCTCTGCTCTCCAACCCCTGTATTTTGCTTGTGTGTTTTGTGCCTGGAAATCAGAATTGCAAACAGTGTTAGAAAAATAAGCCCTCATGCAACATCCAGAATATTGCAGTTCAGTGA